TCTGCTGTTTTTACTACTTCCAAAAATGTGTCCATAAAAAATGTGTGAATCAAAAAGAATGTTTTTTTTTGCTGCTGAATTTCTCGTACATTTCCATTTAAGCTTCACTTGGCAATCTGTTCATCTCCAGCTCATCCCTCAGATCATCCCTCAACTTCGTTGTACAGTTTAATAAAATGATGCTTATTGCATATCTGAGTGTCACAGAGCGAGAGAGAGAGAGGTAGAAAGCTGCTGTTGCTTGCTACACCGCTGCCACTCTCATGGTATGGTGTTTGCATTCCACCCAGGGTGTGTGTGTTGCAGCTGCAGTTATTCATAATGGTTTGTCAGTGCCTGCCACATATATGTTTATCTACACAAACAATCCCACCCACACACTCACACACACGCAGAGTGGCCAACACACAAAACAGCCACAGCATGCGGCACAGCAATTTAGGGGCTAAACAGCTTGGGCGAGTGCAAGGGTGCGTATACGCAATATATTACATGAATATTGTATTCCGCAAACACTAACCATAAAAGCCAAAAAATGTGGGGGCTGTTGTAAGCCAACAGCAATCTGCGGCGGTCGCAACAATAAATAATTAAAAATCTGGGGCCATAAATTGTTAAATATCTCAACAATTACCATGTCAACCAAGTGCATTAGTGGAAAGTGTATTAACTCTCATTAGGGATACAGATTGCGTAGAGTGGCGTGTGTATCGCTTTCCCCTTGTAGTGGCTTCGAGCAGCGAGCGAGGCAAAGACACTTGGTGTTCAACTCCTGTGTATATCTCCGGGCGGTTCGAGTGCTGGGTTCATGAACCCATACAGACGTGCCACTACTCGTGAGGCATTAACGCCAGTTAGTGTTCGGTATCCAGGACTCTCGGTTCGCTTTGGCTTTGGCTTTGCTTGTTGTCTGTGTGGCATATCCAGATGTTGCGAGAGGGTTCTGGGTAATTAAATGGATTTTATTTTTCTAGTTTTTCTCTCACTACTAACAGCCAAATGGCCAGACTTTGATTTTAGCGCCATCCAGAAACTATCTGCGTGTGTGTTTTCCTCTAATGATGTTTTGCATATTTGAGGTTCACTGGGAATTGGTGGAACCCATGAGTGAGCACATTGCTTTTAGTGTTAAAGATCTTGAATAGCCCCTACAAAACTTATTCTTAAATAGTTCTTTAATATTTAAGATCCTATATTATTTACAATCAGACTTCGATCAGAATTTGGTAAATATTTAAGAAGAGCTGTACCAGATATCCCTATCTCCTTCTTTCGCTTTTCGAATGTACCCAAGCAGTTAGTTGGACACAGTTCTTGGACACAACTCCCACCCGAATGCTAAAAAAAAAAGGCAAAAGTGGTTCACCACCAATTTGAGGTCTCCAACGAGGTCTCTAAAACAGAAAATTGTCATTAGAAGCTCATTCACATTTGGGTGCCAAATTCAACTTTAATGCAATTCAAAGCTGAATATTGCAGTCTTGAAAGTCTGAACCATTTCGTACTTCATTAGCAAAACTCCTCAACAAATTCATTACAGACTCTCGACTCGACTACATGGCCCCTCCATGCAGCAGCAGCTACCAAATATCTAGGGCACTAGAAAATGCTGTGTACCCAAGTGTGGCAGCCAGACAGAGGAACACACATCCGTATCCGTAGTGTTAGTCGTATCGGTATCTGCATCGAAGTCAGAGTCAGAGTCTCTGCCTGTGGCAGTGTCCTTTCGCTCTCTCTATCGCTTTCTCTCTCTCTCTCTCTCTCTCTCTCTCTCTCCATCGGTCTCGCGCTCTCTCTCTGTCTGGTGGCAAAAGTGTTTGTTTGAGTGCGGAAATATTTAAAGTGTCACATACGCTCTTCGGAAATTAAATGTGAGTGTTGTTCTTCACGCTCCAGAAAGGAGCAACGGATGTCCTGAACTCTCCTCTAAACACTAAACAACCAGGAAAAGACTAAACACTAAACACTTTCGAGTGGTTTAACTGTGGGTAAAGGGTGATTGATTGCTTTGAAGGGTGTTTACACGGAATGAACTCCTAATGATGGCAGCTAGCTGCAAGAAATAAACCATAGAAAATATGTGTTGAATATAAATATTACACTGCAGATCCACTGATCCTTTTATGGAATAACCTTAAAGCTTTTTTTTTTTAATATTTTGTTTTCGGCTCTCCACATATTTGCAGCTTTTGTCAAACAGGGTTGCTGTCAGGTAGCGCTTTCCTGCTAGATTTGATCACACTTCTGTGGGTGTCATGGGCTGGGTTCTCTCTGAATGGTCATTGCTTTGGTGGCCGCTGCTTGCTCCTGTCAAGGTGTATGCTCTTGTGTGTAATGGGAGTGGCTCTGGCCGCAAAGCAAATAACGGTGTCTGCTGTTGTCTTCTTTTCTCTTTATCTTTGTTTTGCCTCAGCTTTTGCTTCTTTTCGTCTCTGCCACTGCTCCCGAGTGTTTTTGTTGTGCATATTTCTGGTGGGGTGACCATTCATGAGTATTTGTTTTGCGTGTATTTCGAGTGTTTTTGCGGTTAGTTTGGCTGGTGTTTTCCAGCATATGCTTTTGGAAGCCTGTCCCTCCTTTGTGGCTGCGTTTTGCGGTGCGTTTACCTAACATTGCCGTACACGTACACGCATTCATATTTATTTAATTAGAGTTGGTTCTCTGTGCCACATATTGTAGTTTTGTTTGTCTGCCGACCGAGTGGTGCATTTTAAATCTGATTTTCCCATGAGATTTTCGAATGTTTTTAGGTCCGCTGGGGCTTCCCCCCATTGCACATTTCGAACAAACTTTTAATTAAGCATTTTTGATGGTTCCCGGTCGGGTCTGGTTGGATATCTTCCGTTTGCCTTTCTCTCCCTTTTTCTGTGGCTGTACATTCAGGAATTTGCGCGATTTCCAAATTATATTTGTCACCAAAGCCAGCCGTCCCATGTTTGATGTCCAACCGAAAAGTTCATGCATTTCATGCATTTTTAATTAATTATGTGTGGGGATACAGCGACCAAAGCAGATTCAATGCGGACTATACGCGTATTGCCATTGTAGCACAAAATTTAATTCAGATCAAAAACTGAGATTTATGATCTGCTTTAAAGTGGAAAAATATTTCTGAGCATCAGAATTCTTTCGGTTTTCCCCTGCATAAATTTGAGATATTTTCGCAGAATGCTTTGGGCGTCTGTCTCTAGCTCTGGCTGTTCAGCATATATGAGATTATATAACAGAAACCGCACATAAATATAAAGCGTTTCCACTACGGGAGGATTTCAGCTTCGATTCCGCTTTGCAAAATGCAAACATGTGTCTCCGCCGAAGAAGCTGCAGCTGCTGGAGAAGAAGGAAAGAAAAATCCTTGCAAAAAGGACACACAGAATCACAGAAGGAAGCCTTCTAAAGAAGTACACACACACACGCAGAAAAGTCAAGCAGCATCAGGGGCTAAACAGTATCGTGGAAGAAGTGCGAGAAAACATCGTCGTCTTTTGAGCCACCACCTGGTGGGTGGCCACCCCCTTCTCGTACATTCACTAGTACCGTACCATTCATGAGTGCCTCCGGACCGTCCTTTCCTTCGCTCTGTTTAGCCCGCGGGGGGGTTCCGTTCTCACTCTACTGCTGTCTGAATGGAGGTCAAAGTGCATAACTTAAGTAGCCGACAATAAAATGCATAACACGGCATACAAAACACAAACAGACAGGCCAGGCAGCCAGGCAGGAGGCAAGAGCCAGACGGACAGACAGGCAGTAGAGGAAAAGCCAAAAGAAAACTAAGTACAAACCCGTACGAAAATGTGGAAAATATGGCTCTATTTATTTGTACATTAGGCCAAGACGTTCGCTGGCCTAACTGCCACACATTTCGTACCTCTTATAGAAATACACATGTATTGGTGTGTATATGTGCGGTGTTTTTGCGAGTGTGTTGTATGCCTCGTGTTGTACCTGCCTCAACAGCTGCTAGCAAAAGGCCAAGTGTTGTGCTTGACATGTACAAGCCCCTGTCCCAGCCCCCAAAGTGAGATCTCTCTCAGTTGTTCTCTGCTGCTGCCTCTCCCGCTGTGCCATAATCATTTCATGCTGAGCTGGACTTACCCCAACTTCACCATGCCACCATAACGTGCCCCATCTAGTGTAGTGTCGTGTCGATTTATCTAATGGAACAGTCGAGTGTCACATGGACCGGTTGCAAAAACAAATTTATTAAAGGGAAACCAAATAGAGGATTCACAATGGGAAAAAGTCAGAAAAACGGAGGGCAAAATTCTGGATGGAATGGAACAAAAAGGTATAGACATAGGTGGCCTACAGGCGGATTAAAAATGTATCATATTAATAACTTTGTATATTGGGTCTATTGGTTGTGAAATTCAAATATATTTTCTATGTTCAATTCGGGTAAATTTAACAGATGTCAGAGGAGTGAGTCAGAGGAAAGTGCAGCCGAGCCAATAAAGTCTATTTATTCTTAATCAGCATCAATAGCCATAGCTAAAGCATTCAAGCACACCCACTCTTAAGTCATATATGTTCACCATTTTTCACAGCCTATTTTAAATGAAACACAGACAAAACCTGCATAAAGGCATAATAAACTGCACAGGAAAAGACTGGGTAAAACGTTCAATTATTCCAAAGACCCACAAATCTCCAATAAAATTACATACCAATCAACGAAAAACCTCCTTTGGTTGCATTAGTTGCTCATTGTTGTCCGGTGGTTGGGTGACGGCGGATACGGCGACTCCCCGCGTGGACTCTCTGGCACAAAAGCCAACCGCGTAATTAAGCTTTACGTTCCACGAGTAAACACAAATACACTCGAAACACACACTACACGAACACTCGAAAGACTCGCACGCAAAACACTCAGACGCATACGGACACGAGAGCCAGGAGCCGCCGACTGTTAACAATGCACATTAAGCATACACCACGTACGCCGAAGCTATGATGCTCCACTTGTTTCATGGTTCTCTCTCTCTCTCTCTCTTTTGCAGATACCAGGACATGTACAACAATCCGATTAAGGCCACTAATTTGGAGCATCGTGATGTGGTGCTGGACATTCTCTCCGATGCCCGTGTCGTTGGGCCTCTACTGCAGACGGGAATGTTCCATGCGGATGTCAATCGGCGCAATTATATGTACGTATTTGGCCATAACAGCGCAACGGGACCGTATGCCAACGTAAGTATTTTCCGAAGGGACTACCATATTCCAAAAAGAGCGACCAAATGGCCTATTCCAATTACGTACTCCATAGCACTTTTAATTTAAACACACGCTTCCGTTCCGCCACCCCTCGTGTCGCTTTGTAAAATAAACTCAGCATGAGGTTGGAGGCATCTAATGAGTTTTCATGATGTACTCCTCTGTTGGTCTGTCGTTCCCAATAATGGACAATAATGCTGAAAAGTTTCAGGCTGAAGTATGGTGCTTTGGGGTTCGAGGGGTTCCTCATTGGCTTGTTTTGGTTTTTGTCGTTCGCCAAAACAATTCACAAGTTTTCAGGCAGCAGCCAGATAGCGAAAGGCCGCGAATGATCGTAATAAAGACAATGAACCCCATAGCAATCGTCGGAAAAAAATGAAAAGCAGAAGGATGGGAGGGTTCTAGATACCCTCGACATTTTTTGATAGCATTCAGACTCACGGAATATTGAAGACTATTAAATATGCTTTCTTAGGGGGTCCCAGTTTACGAAAATTATTTTTGCAGAAAAAAGAAGAGACGGTGTGCTAAAGATGCACAAAGACCGCTTGAGAACTGGCGGGACTATTGCCGCTCTAAAGAGGTTGCTGCTCTAAAAAATATTATAAATCGTTCAAATCTTTCCATATTTGTTCTAAAATAAAACCTTATACCCCTTCCATTGTAAGGGTACCAAAAAACATCATCAATGAAGTTGTCCTTTTGCTTAGTTTGGCTAAACAGGCGGCATGGAATCCCTCTTGACTTAGGGTTCATTTGTGTCCGACGACGGGTCACTCTCATCGCCCAACGAGTGGGTGAAGGAGCCAGGGCGAGTGCAGAGTTATATGTGTCTGACGCTCATAGTCCGCTTGGTTTGGCTTCTGCCAGAGTTTTATGGCTCTGTCATGCTTATGGATTTGTTACTGATTGCCTGGCCAAGATAGCTTTGTGTTGCCATGAAGCCACTGTCCTCTGCCTGTGTGTTCTGTACTCTACAAATAAATGGGCATATTGATTTGTCTTCAAGATGATTAAATTGATAAGCAAATTAGGGCGCACAGAGTATAGCAGTAAAAGTCCACAATTTTTATGGAAAGTATTTGTTTTCATCGAAGCGAAATCCTTTGAGAGGTCTCGATTGTCCCCCTCTCTGGGAAAGAGTCCTTAAAGCATCGTCTATGCTTGAATTTCAGTTGGAAATTGCTTCAGACACTGACATAATGAATTTGAAAAACAACTCATAGGAGAATTCTCAAAAACAAAAGCGACACTCTATATAAAGAATGGCAGACGAAAAAGTTATTATTTTGTATTAAAAATTTATATATATTGTGCTGGAAACTTTTGGCTAAGCGAATTTTTATGGCTATAGTTTTGCGGCAACGGAGTGGGAGCCATAAAACAAAACTGCAACTGAAACTGCAAATAGATGAACAGCTTAGTGTCCTGCAGTCATATCCGGGCGAATGTCCTTTTAAATGCGACAACAGCTTGCGCATAAGCGGGGTGCAACAACTTTTTAATAGCCCCGCAATTAAAGTATCGTCGGCAAAGACGACAGTACGAATAAGTCCTCTGATAAATTGCTGCCATTGAAATGGAAGTAGCCAAATAAGAGGAAAGAACATGTTTATGCCCCTTGCTGTTGGCTGATTCTGGCTGCTGCTTGCTTCTGCCTGATATATGAGCAGATTCCGCCGGCTTGGTTCGCATTAGTTGCAGATAAATTACGAGAAATAAAATTCACTTAAATATTTCATGCTGCCGCTGCTCATGGGCAAAACATGAAAAGAAGGATCTCAGGGATAAGCGGAATGCCGGCGTGCCTACAAATTAACATCGTGTGGGCCTGTCGTGTCGCCAACGCCACCGAAAAGGCGGTCTGCGCCCAGACACAAATACAGAAACCGGCAAAACAAACAGCCAGACAAGTTAAGACTCAGGCGAGCACACACGCGCGCTCGTATCGACTTTATACTACAATGGTGAAATGTTTTTGATATCCCTTAGACAGGGAGTGGGTATTACGAGCTTTGAGTTAAATTTGCCAAAAGGCAATGAGAGCGTCAACTAACTGATCTGTTTCAATGTGTGAGTAATTCCGTGACCTTAGATAGTACCGAGAATCTTAGATAGTATCTGTGGCACCTTCTTGCAGATATCTTTCCTTACTCCCATTTAAACGTATAATCTCTAAGGGTATGCCACACTTTGGTACCCCCAAAGCTTATTATCCTGTTTTCTACAATTCTATGAGTACAATAGTACTCGCTACAATAGTTTTTTTTTTTTTTGTGCAACTTCTCTATCGTCTGTGAGAGAGCGCCGGTTGAATGCGAATGAATTTGTGCATAAACTGCGCTTCTTGCCTGTGGCTGCTGCACTCCATCTCAAGCGTAATGCTTCAAGTAGCAGGCCACTCACTAGCTTTCATAGAATGAACCACGCCTCCATCCCCGACATACATCATATACGTATATCTTGTGGAGCCTTGAGCCGCGGGCATATTGTGAAACTTTTTGGCACATGTCTTGCATGTCTTGCAGTTGAGATGCTCAGACCTCAAACTCAGACACAGACACAGATACAGATACAAAAAGCGTTCTAGCCCAGAAAAATGCCCCAAAGAGACTACTTACATACTTGGGGTGCTTTTGAAGTGTTCTTTCTATTCGCTTGCCTCCATCCCTCTCCGAGCTGCTGTTATTGTGGTCTCATGGCAATTGTTAAAAATAGCGAAAATTTATTCTAAGAAGAGATATTACTACCACCCCCTCACAAAATAAGGGGATTTTCAGCTGTAATGCGATTTGTGGGGAGTATAGCTTAATTGAATTTAATCCCAGAGACAAAAGCAACACACAAAAAAATGTTGAAAGAAGAAACAATCGAAACACACACTGAAAAGTCTGGCTGTTTGGAGATTTAGATTTTCTTTCGATGTTGCGATTTTCCCTTTTTAATTTCCCAAACTCCTCTAAGAGCCATAAACCCAACGAGCCGAAAACTTTTCCACAAAACAAGTTCCAATTTATTTCATCATTTCGGCAGAGCATTGAAGATGTAAGACCATCCATTCGGGTTTTGAGGACAGTTTAATAAGTTTTCCATATTAAATTCAACAATTTACCCAAAAACCACGTAGACAAACGTCATTATCATCGCATTCTAAACGCGGTCAGCATCCCAAGAATTCTGCCACAGACACACACACACACAAAGAAGAGGCAAAATATAATAAAAAAAAAAGAAAAACTTGAAGTATGTCCCGTCTGGTGGGGTTTTCTTGCTGAGAAAGTTTTGCTATTTTTTTGTGGGCCATTTCCTCGTGCCGGCCTCACTCTTGCCTTTTGATAAGAATGCGAAATGGTTGTTTGAGGAAGGAAAATAAATTTATGAAAATAAAATAAATATAAGCCGAAACTAAAGTTTTATTCGTGGAACCACACACAAAAAAGGATGCTGATGATTTGAGTCTTCGGCAAATAGCAACCAAAATATAGAATAAAGCCTTCCTTTAAGAGAGGGAGAGAAAGAGAGAGAGTGAAGGAGAGAGAGAGATTCCTTTGAGAGTAGAAAAAATCTAATTTTAGAACACAAAATACAAAATTATTCAATTAAAGAGCACCTGGGTGGAGCCTTTATCCTAGTGCTAATCCTATCAAATTACATAAAGATGAAAGTAAATTGCGTGGGTGAAACTGTGGGTGCGCGTGCCTTGCCACACTTCAGCACATTCCATAGCCCCAGGGTCCCTTGCCCTAGGCCTCTCTTGTTGAGCCAATTTTAGGGGCAAATATTTTTGGTAATTTTACACGCTGCGAGTGCCATTAACTCCATTAGGTTTATTACGACAAATGGCGCTAAGTCAAATTGTTGCTTCCGACCCTTGGCCGTGCCGCTGAACTGGGGTACAACATTTTTGGGAGCATAAATTACAAAAGTTACGCATTAATTTCAAAATTGAATTTCCTCCTCCGTTCCCGGTTTTTTTTTCCAATGAATTTCCTGCAACTTTAATATACAAAAAATCACCCAGAAATGTGAGATAATTTGTGACAGGATGTGCGCCCACTCGTTTTTGGTCAATGGAAAGAATAAATATTTAAGCAATAAATTTCATTGTGAAATTTATGAATATTCCTTAATTATGCATTTGTTTACAAACTGAATTTTAAATTGTCGTTCATTAAAGCGGAAATAAAATTTTGTGCATGGATGGAAATATATTTATGGGAAATCCATTCAATTATGTGTTAAGCCTAATACTAGTCCTTTAGTCAAAATGATTGATTTGAAAATATTGCTTAGTTTTCGAACCGGTTTTCATACATATTAAACGAAAAAAAAACATGCAGAGTGCGTAAGGAAAATCAATGGAAACAACTTAAAAAGAATCACTCTGATTCGGTCTGGGTTGAAGGGCTATTGAACCGCATATTCCATCAAACGATGTTATGTGTTTTTTTTCGCTCAATAAAAATCCCGAAGCGTAAGCCTTCTTGTGTCATGAAAAACCAATATTGAATTCCGTCGTTTTGCTCATTTTATCAAATTCTCACACAATTGACAGACAAATGAAAATGAAAATCAAAAGCGAAAATTCATCATTCATAAATGCCATAAAAAGAACGAAGGACCGACAGGGCGGGCAGGCAGGCAGTCCGAAAGCACATTGAAAGGACAGTCTCAGACAGCCGGCGAGCGAAATGCTTTGCAACTTTGTTACATTTTTCATGGCGCAACAATAAAAAACTTGGCTTTATTACCTACTTACAAACAGAGAGCCATTCTAGCCGGTTTCTTCTGCCGTCCTGGCTGTTTGTCTGTTGCTTTTGTCCATGTCTGTTCGCTTGGCTAAATATTTATGCATTCCGTCTAAGAAGATTGATGCTTTGGTTTTGTGCTGGTCACAATGTCACAAAAAACGAAAGCAAAAAACAAATTTTTTACCGATCGGAAGACTAACAGAGGGAAAGTTATTTGCACCGATTTTTAGTTTATTTTTGAAGGGTCCATCGGTTTAGGGATGTTAGTTCAAAATGTACTTAAAATCCTTTCGCCTTACTTTAATTTCCCGCCGTAACTATGATTAATTGATTTTCCTTTCATCTATGGACTACAAATTGCCGCCACTTTAACCGCACCTTTCAACAGCTTAGAGCTGGAGGAGCTTGATTTATTGATGATTTTATGCACAAAATGTATATACGAGTATATTTCACTTACAGCTACCGCATAGCATTATGGGCGAGGAATTGGCATTTATCTTTGGTGCGCCTTTGGCTCCCGCAGGTCCTTTTCCCAGCCATAACTATACGATGCAGGAAAAGCTGCTTTCCGAGGCGGTAATGGCATATTGGACGAATTTCGTAAAGACAGGGTGAGTACTGGTCTACAGTGAAAAGAGTGCATTTTGGGCAGAAAGTTGAGGGAAATGAAGTGGTGAAGTAAGAGAGGAACATCAACATGAGCAGAGTCACAGTTCTGCATGCAAATGCAGAGTACGACGGGTCTACGGGTCTGCGGTTCTACGGGTAAACGGGTGTACGGATGAGGATGCGGATGCAATGTGGGATATTCATGAATTTTTGGAATGACTTTGGCTTTCGCTGTGGCGCCGTGTGGCACGTTTTGCAATCTGCAACGCTTGGACAGTGAAATGAATAGAATTTTTACTGCCGCTTTTATTATTATTCCCGCAGTGAAAACATCGGCAATGAGAGAACTGGGTGGGGCGATTTGTAGATAGATGCATGCAAATAATATTAGTGGTGGTGGAAATAAAAACCATATCTGAAAATCAGAGCTCTAATCGTAAGCCAGGATATTTTGCCGCCAGAATAAGTGGCAATCTCAGCGCTAAGGCACGGCGCCATAACCATGTCATTTGAATGAGAAAATAAATGTTTGAATTATGCCCATAAAATGGAATTGTTTGGTGTAGAGAGACACTATTCCCCCTCATTAGTTGGTTGAGGGTATATATCTTCAGCTATAATTGGAAATTGACAAACATCCGAATTTTCCACACAGCAATCCAAAGGCGCCATGGAAGGGTATCTTCTTGAATTCTCATGCCCTCGAGTGGGATCGCTATGACCTCGACTGGCCAGAGTTTAATAAGCGAGCACAGGCCTATCTCAATATTGGTAAGTTCTTGTCTCATAATGGAAACCATTCCGTAGGAGAGAACTCCTTATCCTGTGGACTGTTTTATTTACATTTACATTTTCCATGCAGGAATCCCACCAACAGTGGGCTACAAGTATCGACAGATTTATATGAACTTCTGGAACAAAGAGCTGCCCGATGAACTCAATCAAATTGCAGCATTGCAGGAGCAGCTGCATCCCGGAAATGAGGTGATTACGGGTCACATGAGCAAGTACGGGCCACGGGACAATGGCGCAGAGGATCCAGTGCGTACGCTGAAGCTCCTGCTCCAGGAGCCCAGTCTGGCCAACAGTGCGGACTCTACGGAAACGGCAGCGGAAAATATGTACAATGCACCGCCCACCTTCGGACATGTCATGCACAAGCAGCAGCCGCATCAGACACAGCAGGAGGAGGACTTGGAAGTTACTTCCGCCACAAATCCAATGGAGGACCAACCGGAGACGGTGGCCAAATCGGAGACAACGTTTCAGCTACTAATTGCATTGATAGCCTTGATTATTGCACTGAATGTGATCATCTACGGGACTTTTCTGATTCGACAGCGTCGCAAGAGAGCCAAAATGTTGCCGTTTCCAGCCCCTAAACTGAACGGGAATATACTCAGCTACGACGGAGCCAACGATGATGAGCTGAAGCGTTGCAGCAAGTCGCGGGATGGGGATGACAGCTACATTATGGACATGGCACGCAAATCCAACACTTATGAGGCCATCAAAACCGGTCAGCGGTCGCCCATCAATGGGTATGCGATTCAGCGGCAGCTCAGCTGCTCGACGGTCGATACCCACACGAAGGTGTGCGAGTGGATGTCGGGACAGGAGCTGCCAAAGTCCGGCAGCTTTGCCACCCCCACTGTGACGACACCTCCTGCATTGCTGGCTGATGGCAGGATGATCATCTGCCAGGATATTGAAGTGGCGGATGCGGCCCTTCTGATCCCTCAGCACATGCACGAACCGCAGCACTACGAAATGCTGCTCCAGCGACAGCATTCGGCACTCACCGAGCCGAGCGACGACATCCTTCAGCAGCAGTTGCAGCAGATGCCACTGCACCGGCACACCCACTCGGATCCTGTGGACATGATTCTGGCAGCCGATGAGCAGGTGACAAGCTTCGTGCATGCCGACGATGTCGACATTAATGTGACGAGTCGCGATGAGAATTGTGGCCTGGAAGTGGCACCCCTGACGGCGGCCCAACAGCTGGAGCTCCTACGGCAGCGTAACTATCCCAAGGTGCTGCCCACTGCCCAGGACCTAAGGGACAGCCGCGGAAGCTATAAGCGGAACTCTCTGCCGCCGCAGAACTTCAGTGCCCCAATGCCACCGCCGCGCACTATTAGCAGCACTTTGGGGCGACGGCGACGTGACAGCAGCAACATTACCACATCGCCTCTGCAACTGGCGCAAGATCTGGCCGGGGAGGAGGAGCCCGGAGAGCCGCAGATTACCCAGAATACACTAATCTTCGGTCCCATTGTGCCCAAGTCGCCGGCGACCTCGTTAAAGCGACAGAGACGGGTGCCTGAAGCGACAGTAACGACGACAGCAGCAGCAGCAGCAGCAGCAGGAGCAGGAACAGCGGCAGCGACGGCTGCGGCGATGACAGCACTAAGCGGATCCTTCCAATCCTTTGAGTCGGTGCCGCCGACTCATGAGACCACACCGCCGCAGGGCGGTGAGCGTACCGAATGCATTTACTCGATTGAGGCGAGTCCTGGGGCGTGTCCAGGGAACGATGGGACGAGCTGGTCAGCGCCCAATGGCGATTTGTATGCGCAGCCGATGAAATCTCCCTCCAGGACATCACTCATCCCTCGCCTTACCCAGCAGCAGCAGCAGCAGCCGTCGCCACATCATCATCATCAACAGGGAGTAGCTTCAGAAGGAGAAGAGACAGCAGCAGTGCCTGGAGGAACATCATCAATGCCCACCGTAACACCAACCCGCATACCTCAATTGCTGCAGCGTCAGGCTTCCGGCAAGGATTTGCGAACAGCAAACACCGCAAATCCCCTGGCAAGCCAACAACAACAACAACAACAGCAGCGAACGGACTCAACCATATCATCTGGTTCGTCGGCTTCGGCGGCATCATCAGCATCATCCACAGACTCAGCCTCCACATCGGCATCATCTTCCACATCCTCATCCTCATCCACGAACACGGTTCGCACCGAATTGCAGCAGCATTGCCAGCAGACTGGCAAAAGTATTACGACCAATATATAGAAAAACCAAACACCCAGGAGAAAGCAGGGACCACCAGCCAACAGCCACCAGCCAGCAGCCAGCAGCCAAGAAGTTCTTCAATTTAACGCCAGAGAGAAAGAGTGAGAGACAGTGTTAGAAAGGATGAAGGTCCCGCTGTGGCCGCATTGCGGCGGACGAGGAGCATCTACTCCGACAGCTGCCTGCCAAATGCCTGCCCTGGCCAGGCCCTCTCCGAATCTCCGTCTCTCCATTGGGGTCCACGCACACAGGCTGTCGGAATTTTACAGAGCTTGCGTAAATTTAATAATACATTTTGGTATAAAGTTTATCTTTGACTTGTCGGTGGTGGCGGCGATGGTGGTTAGGAGCTTCGACTGCAGTTCTGTGTGCCACGAAAAGAAAGTTTTCTCCCATCGTAAATTAGTTCCGAGAATTGCAGACAATTTTGCAGCAAAATGTTGCAGTAGCAAAAGCATATCGATATAAGTGGAGAGAGTCTCATCAAATCAGAGTAACTTTCGAGTGATGAAAGGAGCATCGAAATGGGAAATATCCCTGATAGATGGCAAATAGATTGGTTTATGGATTCATGTGGAAATTATAAATTAGAAAATAAGTCATAATTTTATACATTACAAGTCACAGTCATTATTCTGATGTAAACCAAAGCAAGGCATCCATAAAGTGTACAGCGTGGAGCCACTCAGCAAGTATTATAAGTTAAATGTTCTTTCTATTAAATAAAATTAGGTTTCTTGCTATAAGATAACACACACGAAAACACATACAAAATACTCATCGATGAAGCCAATTTGCATATAGCTGATTTTTGCATTTGTTTCCCCTGACAACCGACAGAGCCAGAAATTGCCAATAACAATGCCTGCATTTTGGCACTTCCACTCCACTCCACGCCACACCACACACACAAAAGTTGTGTCAACTATTGTTGCCGGCAATTTACCAAACAAAAGCTGCTTACGAAAAGGCAGTTCTGCTTGGGAAATACACTTCGAGAGGATGCTCTGATTTTGAGGAGATGAATGCAACTGTCAAGGGGCTACATGATTGATTATTTTAATTTGGTATCCCCACATCATATACTATTGGCTTTATTTCCAATCTGATGATCGCTCTATACAAACTTCAATGAACAATGAATGCATCTTCGAAGTGTATGTGTAACTTCTGCTTCTAAGTCTAGTCTTTTTTTTCTGCTTTCCTTTTATGTGTAGCTTCCTCTATTCTTAGTGCTTCTGCCTCCATTACTCTCTCAGGAGCAGAGCCAAGGCAATTTCGTGGTGACTGCCAACTTAATTTGCCACAAAATTTTAACAGCAGCCACTACCCACTGGAGCACTCCCTGTAGCTCTGTTGCTCTGGAGTCTGGGAGTCGCATCAAAATCAGTTGAAATGTCAACATTTCTGTAGCTACACATATTTCGAATATTTGCCATTTCCCGCATAGTTGTTAACTCTTTCTCCACTTGGCTGTTTCTGTTTCTGACTCGGCCACCCCGCCATGACATCAAAGTTGTCGCCGCCGCAGAATAGTTGTGCGTTTTGTTGGTCCAAGCTTTAGACCATATCCTGCAGGATTTACTGCCTCTGCCTCTGCCGTTGCCATAGATGAAAGTTTTCGGGTTTTATGCCTTATTCCCTTTGTGGCACATTACGGTTTCTTTTTTTTTTTTTGACGGTTTGTTTTTTTTTTGTTGGTTTTTGCTCAGAGATTGAGTTATTGTGTCGTTTCGCTTTTGGGTCCCTTATGCAAATTGTTGTGTCTTCAAGTTGTTTCCTGCTTGTTTTGTTGTTGTTGATTCTATAACATTTTTATTGTCCCTTTACGCAGGTTTTGGCAAGGCACAAAACATCGAATGGCAAAGTTTGTCGCGAACTAAAATTGAAAATTCTACTGCCCCCAAGAAATGTTTCCCCAGAGAGAAAGAGAGAGAGTGAAAGCGAGTGCGGGGGCGCTTCGAAAGTCGTAATTAAATTGTTTGCCCCATTGGATTGTTTTTACGCTTTTATTTTGGCTCTCTCTTAGTTGGCCCTCTGTTGGTCCTTTTTGTACGAATATTTGTTTGCATAAATATTTTTTTAGGGAATGAGAACAGACCCTTTGAGCAAGCGGAACATCGCTTACTTAATTATGAGAAAAGACCCCGTCTGGAGCCAACTAATTGAGCAGCATAACACCCGAAAAGTACTTTGCATGCGGGGTGCTCCTATCAGGGTTATTTGATCGGAATGTTCAGAACATAAATTGATATAATGGCCTCGATACGAATGGCCTCGATACCCACTGCAAAAAGTGTCGGCATTTGTGTGCACTTCAAAGGCAAAACCTTATATGAGATCTCCATGCGTCCAGCACTCGCTCCCGCCTCCCGCTTGTCAGCCTGTCTGTCCATCACAGATTGTTTTCCCACTCAAGTCTGGGCATGCTGTTTGTAATTTTCCTCAATTGAAAAATGCCTTGCGGCGCTTTACTCTTTTCTCAAGTTCTTCCCTCTGTGCTTTTCTTTCTCTTTCTCTTTCGCTTTTCTTTTTTGTACTTTCATGCCATGTACTCGTATCGTTTGGTGTATTTTCTTTTGTGGCAGGCATTCCGTGCCGTCTGCTGAAAAGTGTATTAAATAGTCCTTAAATTGAATAAAACCAGAGATAACTTTTGTGGCAAGTTATAAAGTGCTAAATGGAAGTTTGTTAGCTTGATATGCCGTGTAATGGAATTGCCATTCCCCGTTCCCCACTTTGATACAAGTGAAAATTCTGGGGAAAATGAAAAGCAAACGATAGCAATTGAAAAGACAACAAATCTGTTTGCTTTTAATGCAATCCACGAGGGCATGGCTAATTCCAAAGACTTAATCACTTCACCTCAGGGCAAAACACTTATACACCATTAAATATGTAACTTTCGAATCAATTTGGTAGATATCCACAGGGCTGAATAATTCATAAACTACTAACAGAAACTATATTACAGACATACTTGTGCTTGCAGAATCAACCGCACAGGCCAAATAGTTTGGACCCAACAAATCAAAAGCCACAGCCACAGTAAAACCAAAACAAAAATGAAGAAAAACCAAACTACGAGTGCGAGGAAATTCCCAAAAGCAGCTCCACACAGTCTGCTCCTCTAAATATTTCCGTAAATTTGCTGACAACCACAAATTAGAGCAACTCAAGAGTATATTAAAGTCAAATATGCAGAGGGCTGTACTGGAACTTTCATAACCCGAATGTAAGAGACAACTACTCCTCGTACTGTGAATGCCTCCATGGAGTATGAAATTTCCAGAAGACTCCGACTGGCAACAATTCATGCATTAATACATAACGTTCTGGTCTCTGATTTGATTTACTGTTTGGGGACTCTTGTTGTTTGGGTCAAATAAGGAAAGGAAAAGGCAGAAACAAATGAAAACTTGTGACAGGAAAACCAAAAAGCAAAAAAGAAACACATAAAATATTTGTGTCCAATATTTTATATATGATTATTTTTGTAAATATTAAAACTTTTGTACAATTACGGCAAATTGACAACGACATGCATATGTGTTATGTATGTATAGCGCCTCGAAACACGTTTTTTTTTATTGGTAATTAAGCAGCTTAAATGCATCATCACTAATTAATGTACTTAATAATTAGTATTATACATACGTTTATTTATACATTTCCGCACCACAATGACCATGAAACGAAAGGATTTGCTTGCTCTCCAATAGCCTTAAACAATAAACTGGTTAAACATTCCACAAACCAAACAGATGGGAGAACCAACAAATAAATGTATGCAAATTATGTTTCGTTATTTTTATCCCCTTGACGTTTGTTTGACTTTTTAATGAAAATTTTAATAATTTAATAGGTGCCAGACGAAAAACACAATGGACACACAGCAAGTGTAAATAATTTATAATCCAAACAATTATTGTAGCAATGTAACATTTCAAAAATAAAAGGGAAAAGGGAAAAGAAAAAGGTTAACTTTTGCAAAAACAATATGTGGGGGAAAAGTTAAATAAATGTTGGGGCTGGGCTTACATTTCCGACTGGCGGTTAAGGGTTTAAGTTAGCTCTCTGACCCTTTCGGTTGGGTATGGTTAACCCGCTGAGAAATGTGTATTAATTATAGTTGGGATTACATTTAAAGAGTTTTGACCATACCAAAAATTGCTGCTGTCAAATTACAAACAACATTTCATTTGATTTCGTGGCACATTTTCATAAATTTCATCCGCACAAATATCAATTTTATAGCCCGCCAAAATGAAAAGTTCTGCGCAAAAACAAAAATGCTCAATTAATTGTATTTTGGGAGACCAGACACAGCGCAAAAACTAGTGGAAGAACAACAAATGTCATTAGGGACATCAACTGCATAAACGGATTTGTTTGGTTGATAATATTCCAGACTGCCTGCCGGCCTGCGAGAATTAAATGTAATTTTGCGGTGAAGCCCTCTCTGCGCACACGTTTTATGCAAATTATTTGCATCGAGACTTCAATGAATATAAATTCGCAAATGAACAGCAATCGCACCTCGGAATATTGGACAATGGTTCGAGCATAATAAAATAAATATTTAATTAAATATATTTAGTTTTGTGTACATGTGGTGCGTGCGACCTTAGTTCTTTTTATATATATTTGTATGATATTATTCAGCTGCTCTGTTTATTTGTTTGTTTTTGCGGTTCAATGTTCAATGGGCTATTAAATTTTAACGACATGAAGCCCATAAAATAATATGCAGAAATTTGATTCAAGGTGCAGTTTGTTGTTTTTGCAAATAGTGCATAATATTCTGGCTTGCTTTTAGTTACATATCTGATCAAATCGTCAAGAGTGAAAGTGTTAAAAGTGTCGAAGCAAACCCCTTTCTTGAGTGTTAATATTTCTCAATTTAAAGAGCACTCTGCAAACAAAATTCGTGCAGAAATGCTCTCCATTAGATTTGGGAAAACAGATTTAAGTGGCAAAACATTTTGCTGCATATATTTTTCAGCATTTTCCATCGGCTTGTGGCTGCAGTAACACATTGTCTGGGAGTTAGACATGTAAACAAGCAACCCATTTGCATTCACATTTTTCATAGTTTCTGTTCTTTTATTAAATTTATAAATTGTGTGCTGCTCCACAGCACAGATCCCCCTCTGTTCCTGGCCCTGTGGCTGGTGCTGGTCCTCGGCACGAGCACGCTTCTTTCTAGCAGACCCTCCTCACACGTATGAGATTTATGGCAAAGCGCATTTTATTTATATATTTTTTATGACTTTTGTTGTTTTCATACTACTCATACTATTTTTGCTCTTTCGCTTTCGCTGGCTTTCTGCCTGCAAACATTTCCATCATAAATATTTTTCCCGTTCTGCTGGGCGCCCAAGAAAACCCGAAAGGAAAACTACAATTACGATGTTGGGAAACGAGGGGGGAGAGAGAGTGGGAAAATATCTTCTAAAAGTAAATAAAAGTGTGGAAAAGCGCAGGAAACTTTGTAGAACGTGACCTGCACAAGAAGCAGTGAGGCGATGCCATTGAGCTTGCCCAGTAACCACACTCGCACTCACACCCTCACCGCCACCCTACCCTCTTTGAGTAGCAATTAACGCTCATGATATTGCCGTTCGGTTGCATGTGGCAGCATATGGCAAGGTTTGTCTGGAGCAGAGGCTGATGCCAGTGCACTGGGGTGTTAATGCGGCAAGTCACTCGATTGGCAGTCGTCTGACTTTTTATTGTAGCATACTTTCCAGGGCCTTTCCGCCTTTTCGTATTTCCTTAACGTTTAATTTGCTTATTACCAAGTTTTCGCACAGACAATGTGCCGTCGCCTCAGCCATCGCTGCTCCACTTTCATTCAAGTTTGTTGCAATTTGCAATTTGGGTCGTCGGTCGCTGTCTGCCCCACGCTTCTGAAGCCAGTCAGTCCCCAGCCTGCCGCCACACATTTGTCGCTAATTTGGCGAGAAAAGTCATCTGCTTCCGCCTTTGAACACAAACGCTGGCTCCGTCGGAGTAGGCATTCCCCTCCCGCCATCGTAGTTGTTTGGCATCAATTGTTTTAAATGCTCGTCGAGCGTTTCACAAATTGTTTCCCAGGCGTCACCACCGTCCCACGCAGAGATAGAGAGATGTGGGCACAGAGATGGGCTGAGTGCACTCTACACTCTCCGACTGTCAAGAATATTCGAACGGAATCGAGTTATGAAAGTTTAATTGAAGCAACCACAAAGTAAACACACACAGATACTATTTGAGTTTACTTTTCGTAATATTTTCTTTAATTTGCAAATATTTATTTTAAGTTCTGGTATCACCCCAAGCCACAATCCACAAGTTGTGTGTGTTGCATAGTGTTGCCTTTGCAGTGGCACGCAGCAAGAAATAGCAAATGTTTTTATTACAAACAAAGAGCATGCGTTCGCATGTGTGAGCATGAATGTTGGGTGAACTTTTGCCGTTTTCAAGTCGAAATCGATGCGCGTCAATATTCAATATGTTGCTTTTACTCGCGCCATGCTCGAATGGTGGAAAAAGAGTGCGAAAGGAGGGAAAGCAGCCACAAGGAGTGGCAGGAAGAGCAGCAGCATCAGCATCGGCATCAATGGGGAGCAAGAACATCCGCGGAAGTGAGAGGGAGTAGAGAAGGAGCGGTAGCAAACCCAATCATGCAACGCAACCAACGCCATCTGATGTTTGCTTTACGTAATGGAATTGTGCGGTGAATGCCGCGTGCCACATTTTCGCCTTGTCTTGCCACGCCCTGCGCCCTGTACGCTGCTACCACACGCTCTTTGTGACTTTCCCCATGTCTGTGACGGTTTCTGTGAATTTTCCTTGGGATCCCTCCATCGCCATATGGCTCTGTGTGTGTCGAATTCCTACCCAAGGATTTTGCCTTTCAATTGCTAGTCTCTTTTGCTTTCCGTTTTTGCGCTGGCGATTGTCAACATTCCTTGGGCACTGCAATTTACTTTCGATTATTTTAATTAAATAAAAATATGCACATGAGTTGGGAAATTAATGGAAACTGCATTGACATAAGCTGATTATAATTTGAGCAGCTGCTGGCAGAGACACACAGGCAGGACAGCTCATTGGAGGAGCCCTGAGCGAATGCTTTGCTCTTATTTCCATTTAGAAACCATTTCACTGCGAAGTTGATTAAGAGCAGAAATTTCCAATTACCCAAGCATTATAATCAGAAATTGAATGCGGTTCGAGATGGTTTGTGAGTTTGTTTTATTGAATCACTCTAGAAGGATGCTCTGCTGCACTCTCTCTCTCTCTACCCCTCTGCCACTCTCTGCCTGCCTCGCTGTCTGTTGTGCAACAAAGGAGAACACGTGCTCGTATTAGCAACCGACTAAGTGCTGTTATTCTACAGTTTTACACCACAATTACCAGCTCCCGCGCACTCGCACCCAAACACACCCACACACGCACACACTCACCCACTGCGAACGTGTCAAAATCGACACCAGCACATGGTGCATGCTCCTGCGACCCCAATAAGCCATCGTACCTCGTAACTCGTCTCCACCGCCGGATCACACCCGCCCTACGTGCCTCCAGGACCCATGGCTACGTGTCGAATTCCAAATAGCAGCGCCAGTCATAACTGTAAGACAATGTCTGCATGTGATGTGATGACGGGAACGTTGTCACGCAGTCGGTTCGGGGTGCTCTAAGGATCTCCGGAATGAGATTCCTGCTAAATCTAAGCAAGGGGCATAGTCGGAGGCGGGGGTGGACGTGAAGGTGATGCAAAGCAGCCCTAGTTAGTATGTCATGTGCATGTTGTCATGGCATATTTCGTTCAAGACTTACCTTCAGTTTTGCACTCTCACACAGTTTTAGGGGGAATATTTGTTAGGATGGATACCCTTTTAGGGGGTTATTACAGAAATGTTTACAGACATTTCCAAGGCAATAAAAGTAGAGTTATTGAGCATTAAATAACCATATATGTACATGGGACACCTATTTGCAATCTCTGTACAATTGTTGGGACCAGAAACCAATCCTCTTTGATGTGCACATGGCCCTATAGTCATGCTTAAATTTCAATTTCAGTTGTACATAATATTAAGTAACACCAGGGTATCTTTATCTCGGCTACTTCAAATGGATTTTGTTCTTTCTTGTTTTTTTCATGGCCTTGCAGAAAACTTCTGCCTGCCGTCGTCGTCAGACTACGTCGTAATCATATCAGGGCTACATTCTAGCATCCTCTCTGCCTCCTGCCTACTGCCTCCTCCCTACAGGCAAGTGTTTTCTCATGTTAAGCAGAAGCGCTACAACGTTGCCTATCCTTGGTATGGAGCAGATTCACTCTCGTTGTTTTGCTTGTATCTCACTTGGCCTTGTCTGCAGGCCGTATACGAAAAAAGGATTATGAAAACAACTTAGCATGCAAAAACAGGGCCAAAAAGAAAAACCAAAACTGAATTTCAAATCATCTACAATCTGCCCTAGAGCTAATCGCTATGAATCAAGCACCTTAGCCACAACCAATTAAGGAAAGAAATCTGAAAAATTGAAAGCTTCAATTCAAGGGTTTTCCAACCATCCACCCATCCATCCATCCAACCATCCATTTATCTATCAATCTGTATGTAGAGAGTTTTTTCACTCTCATGTTGCAGTATGTCTTTCTGTGTTAATAAAGTGAGGACAGATTGTGGAACATGTGTCACTCACACAGATACATAGATGCAGATATGAGTACAGACACCATTTTGTTGTCAATTATTTTTCCGCCAGCAGTCAACATGTTTTGAATGTAGTCTGCCACCCACATAAACCAGAAACGACCAAACGAACGAAAAGGAACCCTGCTCTTGTGTCAAGGCACTCAACCTTTGACACACTTGCAGTTGTGTGGCCCAGGATGACTTCGAACTCCTCCGAGAGGAGGATATCCCCATCTTTGGGGCATGCCGCCATAATGAACACAACTGGCGCCAACAGCACCATCAGCACAGAGCGCGAGAGTACTGCATGATAATTGCCAAAAATAAAATAAAGCCAGCAGCGAAAACAATTCCGAAACGGAATGAATGCGTCGTCGCTTTTTTTTTACTTCACTTTGGTACAAAAGTATTTTAATTACTTCGAGCAGTCGGCGGTGGTTGGTTGGGAGGAAGAGGATATTAAGCTAACGACTGAATGTTCTCCGTTCGTATTGTATAAATAAATTTAGGGAATTTCCTACAAATTAAATTTATAATCATACCATATAAGTCAGAGATAAGCAACACTGGAGTATAGTTTACTTAAGAGTTGCCACCCATGCAGCAGTGTTGGCTAACACTTTTTGAGACAGAGTTGCTTTGCCCAGCACAACCGACACAACCCGACAACCAATGACATTTTCTTTTGCCTTCAAATTTCTACTAACATTTGGTATTCAGACTGAAGCTCTTGACGAACTACTACTATCATGTCTAAGGAAGAAACAGGAGCGGGTACTACAGAGGCCACCAAAGATAACAACATAAGGAAGGCCGAAGAGAAGCCCAAGAAGCAGCTGAACGATCCACGCTTCCGCATCCGACCGCTGCAGCAGGTGGTCTCCGCCTGCACGGGTGCCATGATTACGGCCCTCTTCATGACGCCGCTGGACGTGCTAAAGACGCGCATGCAGATGCAGCAGTCGCCCTCGAACAAGTCCTTCTTCTACAGCAACGGCCTGATGGATCACCTCTTGCCCTCCCGCCCCGATGGGCCACAGCAGACGCCGAAGCTGTTGTTCACCAACTCCTTTGACGCCTTGTTCAAGATCAGTCGGAACGAGGGACTCAGTGCTTTGTGGTCGGGCCTGGGACCCACTCTAATATCGGCATTGCCCTCGACCATCATCTACTTTGTGGCCTACGAGCAGTTCAAGGCAAGGTACATCAACATCCATGAGAAGTACTTCAAGAGGACCATCGATCTGGAGACGATGTCCTCCTTTAAGCCAGGGGAACAGCCATTACCTGTGGTAGTGCCCATGCTTTCCGGTGTGACGGCACGGGTCTGTGCCGTGACTGTCATCAGTCCCATCGAGCTGGTGCGCACCAAGATGCAGGCCCATCCCATGAGCTATATCCAGATGTTTGGCTTCGTGAGGAACGTGGTGGCCTTGCAGGGATTCTGGGGACTCTGGCGAGGACTACCACCCACAATACTCAGAGATGTGCCCTTCTCTGGCATCTATTGGCCTATCTACGAGCACACGAAGCGGCGTTTTGGCAGCAGCACGCAGCCCTCCTTCGGTCTGAGCTTCGTGTCTGGAGTGCTGGCGGGATCAGTGGCTGCTCTGGTCACCACGCCCTTTGATGTGGTGAAGACCCACGAACAGATCGAGTTTGGGGACCGTGTGATCTTCACGAACTCACCAGCGAAGGAGATGCAAAAGCGATCCACCTTTGGCTGGCTGATTTACATATATCGCACGCAGGGATTTGCCGGACTCTTCGCTGGCTACGGACCCAGGCTGTTCAAGGTGGCCCCCGCCTGTGCCATAATGATATCCACCTTCGAGTACAGCAAGTCCTTCTTCTTCTACTACAATGTGCGGCAGCACAACGAGGCTCTGCTGCTGAACAACCCCGATGCTAAGCTGGTGGAGGAGGACGACATTGAGTAGCAGTTGTCTCCATGGGAATCCATCCCTATTGTAAATAAACTGCGCATATTTTATGTAAACCCAATACCGAGGCAGAATTCAATATCCCAATTAAGTTGCGTGACGCTTTACGTGTTACGTCAATCAGTCGCGGGGTCGGCGGGAAATCAATTTGCATTTTCACAGCCTAAAGACTCCGGAATCCAAAGGATCCTTTGGCCTGTTGCTTCCTGTTGCCGCTGTTGACGCTTCTCCTCGGTTGACTTTTAATGGAATATTCATTCATTTGCATTAACTGCAATTTAAGCGAGTGCCAAAGAAATTAAATGAAATTTCCAGCGAATGGGTGGGAAGCAGAAACAAAGTTGTGGAAGCACAACGAATCCCTAGAGAATTTAAAACTTTTTCCACACATCTCGAGCCTGCTCCAAATGCATTTTCCACTTGAAGTTTTTCCCTTAGCTATAATCGAATCGTGAAACACTTTGTGTGCGCGAGGCATTCAATTGTTTGCCCGGTCACGTTTCACCACAGCACTTTTCCCGGGCCCTCTCCCGCGCTGCAAACACAATTCGTGCACTCCACGGACGGCCCCACGAGTAACCTAAACTACTCGTATATTTCTGTGATTGAGTGGAACGGACGGCTTATACTCTATAAATCACAATCGAGAAATTGTATCAAAACTAAGCAGGCGTAATTAAGGGGTATTTTATTCTGGTCAGGAAAACTTAATTGCATTTCAGTGGCAGGTCTCTCTCTCTCTCTCTCTCTGCCCCTGGCTGTTCCACGCCGCAAGCAACTTCCCAAATAATTCGCCTACAAAAAAACTGTCCAAGCGAATATTTCATGGCATTTTTTCATTATTCTCTTTTGTTTTTATTAAAGAGCAAACACATAGAAAGAGGAGAGAGAGGGAGTGAACAAAGCATAGCCAAGCACAATAAACCAAACCAGGCAGTGCAAAAAAAAATGAGAAAAGAAAAAGAAAATATATATTTTCTTATTTCCTGCTATTCTTTTCTGTTGCTCAACCGAAAAAACAAAAAATATGAAGAATTCCCCAGCCCGTGATGAGTGCGGGACTCGCTGGACAGTGACTTTCACAAAGATAATAATCGTACGAGAGAGTACTATACACATAATTTGTATTGAATATTCTTACTGTTTTCGTTATATGAAGAGAACTAACAATGAAAATGTGGTACTATGTGTTTCATTCATTTTGCAGTCAAGGATCAGATCTCTCTGCCATCTGTGTGTCATAATTCATTATAGTCGCATGATTCCAAGTACCATTTGACATTCAGTCCTAGACAAAAATGATCTTTTAATGGCTTCCCATTAGGCAATTCACAAAAGAATCGTAATGTCGTGAAAAGTGCTTGTCTTCCCCTGTCTTTTTGTGCAGTTAATTTTCCATGAAAATCACATAATTATTATTAAAAAATACTTTAACATCCACAAGCTGTGGTGTCCCGAGGCCCTGGGGGGCATCATTTAATGTTTTACATTTTATTCCCCCTTTTCTTTTTTTTCGTATTTCCTTTATTGGTCTTCTTGTTATTCTCTTGTTCTGCTGCTCCACGAAAATTGCCAATAAAGAAAATTAAAATATGCTTTCATAAAAATAATTGAAATTAAATTTAAGTGAATATCTCATTTGTGTTTGTGTGTGTGTGTGTTCCACCGGTGTGGGTCTGGAGATGGCCCTGGCTGTGTGCGTGGGGGAATTTTTCACTTAACCATACACATGCACAAGGACCTCTTTGCAGTCCTTTTCTCATAGTTTTTCCCGCCGGCTTCCACTTACTTTAGCCCATTGTTGTAGCTGTAGTTGTAGCTGTATTCCTGGTGTCGGTTAAGGGGGCGTGGCACTTGTCTATATATTTTCTGCAGGCTGTTGCTTGCCACCGCTGCCATTGCTTCATGCTGTATTTTTTTGTTGTCAGCATCAAAAATATTTTCCCTGCCAGAAACAAGAAAAAGAAGAGAAGTATAGAGAAAACAGACAGGAAAAAAGCTGTTGATAGGAAGAGCCCGTCCATCCTGCCGTCTGGTTGTCCGTCAGCTGTCCCTCGGCCATCCTTCAACATTGGGCCCGTTGTCAGTGGAGCACCCAGGACCAGATTCAGCCCCAGAGTTTCATTCCCTACTTTTTGTTATGCCCTCCCTCCTTCTCTCTTGTTGTATTGTATTTGCATTTAATTGTGGCATTAAAAATACACGAGAATACACCCGAATGCTCGTACAGCAGCAACAGCAGTGGCAGGGCCGGGTCGGGATCTTTATTTATGGCCCATGGTCTATCTCATTCTGGCCATGTTTTTTATACGCTTCAGCCACTGGACATTGTGTGGGCGTGGCCTTGCGAATGTATATTCGATTTATACGCGAACTGTGGAGTGGACAGCAGTGGCGGTGGTGGAACGCAATGAAAATGATTTAAGATTGGATTATTGGGTGACAAAGTGTGAAGATATTAAGGCATTGAGTCGCTTCGTTCTGTCCCCGATTGACGACTAATGAACTGTTAATTGACTAATCAAATCAAAGCGACTAAGCAGCTGGAAATAGTCTTTCGTCCTTGTCTCCTTGGCTCCTGGCTTTAAGATCCAGTTTAAATGTGCCTGATTCCAGTGCCAGCTTAGCGCAGTTTTCCATTTGGCATCAACTGCATTCCCCTTGAAGTTTCCGCAACTATTTGCTTAATTGTTTAATTTTATGCGTAGAGTTTTGCTGGCTGAAACTTTATTAAAACGCGCCATTCTATGACTTTCATTGGGCAACCAACCGGAAAGCCTTCCCGCCCTTCAGTTAGTTAACATTTCCCACGAATTTTCTATTTCGCCTTTTCTGTTTGTTTTTTGTGTTTCTTTTGCTTCTTGGCCAAACATCCGTTTTGGACGGAGTTCGGGTCTTCTTGAAGGCTTCTAATTGTTGGCACTTCCAGTGCATGAAAAAGAAAACAATTTCCAAGCGCCTCGCGGCTGACCTTGCCACCCCCAAAAACCTCCTGCGAGTGTTTAATTAATTTTTAGAAAAGAGCCAAATAAATGGCAGAAGGTGCCCCTTTCCTTTTTGGAGAGTCAAGAATCTGCAGAATACAAAAATGAAATAATGGTACAGTGGACCAGCCCAAGTCTATTTAAAAATGGGGCAGAATTTTTCACACCTCATGGCCTTCATGCGTCACAGGAATCCATCCCATTCCTTAGATGTTCAGATGTTCAGGAGTCGTGGGCTTCCACTGCCACTACCAGCATTCTTAAAGGTAGAAAAAACATTCTATTTTTTTAATTAACGAACCCTTTGAATGCGGGGCTGATGTGGGCCGGCGTGTTTGCACTGTACCTGGAACACGCTGGATTTTTAATTAAAAAATACAGGATCAAAATTGACAGGATGAAAAAATAATGTTTACCTTGTTTGCCACCGTTGTGTCAGCGCGTTGGCCTTGCTCCACCCTTTCGTCATGGATTTATTTTTGCCACTTGATTATTCAGATTTCACATGCTGAAAACGGTTAATTGTAATCATTGTGGGGTACTTTCCTCTGACCGCTTTTCCCAAACTCTAATTGCGGTTAATTTGGCTCTTTATAAATGCAGACTTTTTCCCTCTCTTTTACTCTTTTTAGTCCCTCCCTCCCTGCGAAGACCACAAGTTATGCGAGGATATTTATTTTTTCTTCTCTTATTTCTAGCAATTTTCCCTTTTTCGTGTTGTTTTCGTTTCTTTTGGCCGACTAAATTATTTAAGCGATAATGGGGCGTAAAAGTCATAACTTTAGAGGTTTCCTTGAAGGTCTCTCGACCAGCGACCGGCAGACGGAGTTCTGGCACTGTCAAGTGCATTAAACATGAGCCAAGAGTTCTCTGTTCATTGTTCATTTCAGGGCCACAGTTAATTTGCTTAGCCATTTGTTGTAGAACAGAGCAGAATGCTTTAACCATTTTCCCTATTTCAATTGTAATTTATGGTAATCGCTGTCTTAATAACAAACCAATTAGAAACTTTGCCATAATTTAATCTGATTTTCGTATTTGCTAAAGGCTTCCTCCAGCAAACTTGTCCTTCCATCTCGAGTGTTTTCCTAGAAAGAAGGCAAAACTTAACGATTTTTCCCTTTTATTTTTCTTCTTCTTTTACTTTTTTGTGCTGCTTGTCTTACTTTACGCTACGTCTGCTCTGTTTATGAATAATTCATGAGGTAACTTTATAAAAATAACGCACAAATGGCACTAAAACAAACGTGGAGGGCGGAAGGGCCTTTCCGACCTTTGAGCAGAATTTGAAATGCCCTAAAAGTCTTTTAGGTGCAAGCGGAATGAATTGAATTGTAATGCCAAGTCATCTATTTATATTAGGGTATAGCCACCTAAATGTTTTCTCTAATGCATGACAAATTACCATGAAGTGTAGCCAAACTAATGTGCCATGTCCTTCCCTCTCTTCTCTAGAACTACTACAAGTACGAATTTTCCAGCGAAATTCTTTGTCTTTTGTCTCTTCAACCTGAGAAAATTATGTTTAACATTTTCTAGATGCGTATGTGGTATGTCTAGCAACAAAAATATCGTTTATTATGAACAGAGAAATACATATGTACATACATGTATTTGAACAAGAAGAACATTGTACTGCCAGCGGGCATGTGGGGGTAGGTCATAGGAAGGCAAATCTGAAAGCAGCTTAAAGCTTTAAATAATGTAATAAATTATTAAATTTAGTTAAGAGCGTAAGAGAGAGAAAAACAAAAAAGTTTCGCTATGGAAATTGTCATAAATGGTCACTGGCAATCGTTTAAGTGCAATTTGCATATTCAACAGATTTTTGAACAGAAACCAACAAGGTTCCTAGCATTTCATATCACATCAAGAGCAGAGTATGTGTTTCGGGCGGGGCACGGCTACAGCAAACTTTTGAGTTTCACCTTTTTTGTTTTCTGTATTTTTATGTTGTTGTTATTTTATTTTATTCGGGGCTCATCAAGAACTTTGCTGCGGTTTGACTGTGTCTGTATAATTTGCATAACAGCCTGGGAGATACGGAGAGAATTGTTACATTTTTATTTTGATATCACCTCATATGCAAATGAGTCTGACAGGAAGTGGAGGTTGAGAATTTGAATGGACTTCCTTCCTTTCTAGAACAAGTTGCTTCATTATGTCAGAATGAGGAAATTAATCAAATTAAGATCAGAGAATTCTGATGAATATTCCGAGATTTCCATTAGAATAATGCATAAACTTTGGCACGTTTTGCGTTTGCTAGCAATCTAATTGTGGTAATGGACTAATAAATCTACCGAATGATTTCCCATTTTCCCATCTCTGGATTCGATGCTTTTCGTGGAATCATACGCAGAAGATTCAACTTCAACCTCCCCCCCCNCCCCCCCCCCCCCCCCCCCCCCCTAATTAGATGGAATTGTATAATCTGCCAAAAATGCGGTAAGCTGCTTATAATTCATGATAATAACCATCATCAGCATTGCTCAAAGTCGGTGCATAATTATGTAAGCGGCTTTGAAAAATGTGTCATTGTCGTAAGGGAAATACGTCAGTAAGCTGATATTAATTTCGCTTGCTCATTTTAATTGTAATTTTCCTTTCGCGCATACACACAGAAACACGCTACATGCTACACGCCACATGGCATACGTGGTAGGAGTGCCGCTCCCACTCCTGGTTCTGGTTCTGTGTTTTGTGGCTTAATTTCATATCGTTTACCTTGACAACAGGGCATGGGTACATCACCGCCAAGCACACACCAAAGAAGAAGGTGACTGGGAGACAACATGATGACGATGATGGGCAATGACAGGGAACAGCGACACCACCATGGACACGGCTCTGGCAATGGCAGGCAATGTCTGCTGACAGTCAGCTTTCGCCATGCCAGAGAGCCCTGCCGGACCCCACGATGTGAAGACTGACATGAACAGGCCATGGAGCGATAGAGAGAGATGAAGCTCTGGCATCAGGGCCGGATATAAAATATGTTGAGCACTGTAAAGCGTGTCAGCACTAAGTTGCTTTTATTTTTAAACATATTTCCAGCTAGCTTTAGCTACAGTCTGCTCTATAAATATTACATGTCGACTGAATCAAGTTAAAATTAAATTTCCTAAGGCAAAAGTTGTCAACACCCGCACCCTCTAATCTTTTTTGCAGTCCCTGTAATTTAGTTTGCACTGTTTTTTTGCATCTCTGCAGCTGGGGGACTACGACTAATGACTTGGAATTTGTTGCCCGCCAGCCAAATGAGCATGTGTGTGCTCTGGCCTGTCTCTCGGGCAGATGTTGTCGCCATTAACGCCTCGCACAGGCCAAAAAATAGAGAAAGCAGCAACTTAAGTGCAACAGAAGCGTAAAAATCATTAAGCTCCAGCTGCTGCTGCTGCCCCCGCAAAACACACGGACCGACACAGAGCCACATACAGAGAGAATGAGAGACTCCCAAAGAGACAAGCTAACTGACAGAGACAGAGAAAAGAACAGAGGCGAGAGGCGAGAGAACTCTAGCAGCTGTATCCTTTTGCATGCCGTCCAACATGACGTATGAGTTATGCAGATAAATTGCATGCCACATCACTCATACAAACCTTCAGCTTTAATTACATCAAGCGCACACGAGGTACAATTTAATTCGAAAATGTTGTAATTTTATAATAAAAGTCACAGTCGGTTGGCCCAGCGGATAAGGATATATTTGAACATAATATGTTCCTGAAAGAAATGAAAGAGGGAAAACCTGCCCATGGCCTGCCAATGAAATTACTAAACTCTTTCATATTTCGGTAGTTTAGGTACGACATTTGTTATGGCATTGCGTATCGAGTTCCATAAATTCCCGAACCAATCTTTGATCCGCTTGCTCCTAGGAGGTCTTTTGGATTCTCTCAAAAGTTGCAGCACCATTTTCTCCAGCTCTTCTTCTCGGCAATCTGGGAGGAATATCATAGGTTTTAAACGTCCTTTAAAAGGATTATGTTGTGAACTTACTTTTTGGCGATTCATCTGTACAATTGGACTTATAAACATCTAAGGAAGAATTAGAATCTACAGTATAATTCGGGACGAGGGTTGGTTTAGTCGCAGGGCCTGTAGAGAAATGTTTATATCTGAAATGTCATATATCAAAATCGTGTGTTCTAGTCGCCTTGCGTCATGTAATTATTGGAAATTCATCCTTCTCAATAAAATGTGTGGAAACTTTTACGAAAACAGTTGAAAAAGCGAGGACGGCAAGGAGATATGGTCTCAACATCTTGAAATCTCTGGTGGAACTAAACCAAGAAGGAGCAGTCAAGTCAAGTGAATCAAAATGATATTTTCTGATTAATTTTTTAAGATTTCAAAACTCCCGCACTTAATTCGTTGGTTCTGCTCTTTTTTCACAATTAATTTCCGCAATTTTCACGCCTGCACACAAAAGAAGCGACCATAATCATGGCCATAAAAGGGCAAACCGCAAAGCCAACGCGTTTGTTTGTTGCACAATGCCCCTTAATGAACAACGGAAATTGCTGGCCACTAAAGTGCAGTCCCACTAAAATCGTATAAAAATAAATCAAACGAATAGCCACCAAAAACGAGGATGGGGATAGACTTTTTTGTTGATACTCTCCACTAATTGATGATACTTCGGCGGAAACACTTACGAAAGCACTGTACTCATTCATTTCTCCATAGTCGTATATGCCCATTTTTTTGTAGGGTAGTGTTGGAATGAACACAAAGAGGAACAAGCGTCGTCGACACATGCAATTGTCAATTTCATTTGTTGTGGCACTTTTCATAACGTGACTAAGAGCGGGGCCATGCCACAGAACCCCATTGTGCAACGCTTCGAAAAGGACAATGTTCTGACATTCCTGCTGCTACTGGTGTTGTCAGACACCATATATGCAGATACAGATACAGTTTCAGGATACAGAAGTCTCGTAAATTTGTGCTGACTGATAAATAACGATGCAATTGACTTGAAATCGTGGCCGCATTTATTGTACAATGAGTGAAGGATTCTCTGATATGGAAAATAAAATTCTAGAGATGGGTGACCTTAAAATGGGTTATAAAGATTGCTTTAATGAGTGTTTTAACCCCCTGAATTAATCCTTTCGAGAACGTTTTAATGCATTAATTATCCAATATGAAATTTTACTCGTAAATCTCATCATTGATTTCGGCATTGTTCATCTCCAAGGACACCTTTTACATTAATTGATAAGATATCCATTACGATACTTCCGTTATCACGCTGTCATCCCTGGATCTCTCTCGCGTCCCTCGGGTCCCTGGGACGTGCCTTATTGTTGCCTTTTCACACACACTTTATTTATTTATATATTTTCCCTTTGCTGCTCGTCTCTTTTCAGGGTTTCCTCCCCAGTTTTCTCGCCATCCTTTTAAACCGTAAGCTGTATTCATTTTTTGTTTATCAATATTTGCTTTTTGTATTGATATGGAAAAAATGAAACTTTTATTAATGACCAATATGCGCAGATTTCTTTTTCGCAGCCTTGTATTTAGTTGCCTCTCAACGCGATTTTCCCGAGAGTTTTCCTCTTTTCGAAAATGATGCAATGCAAATTTTCATTTTAAAAGCTTTTTTCATGCCTTTAAGTGCGTGTCTGCGTGTTTTTTAGGTGTACAAAAATATTGTTGCACAGTGACATTGAAAGGCTGTCAAATATTTATGTATATTGTATATATTTTCACGATTTTTTATCGCGCGCTCTTTTTTCGACGCTCTCGCTCTCTGTCGATTGTTTGGAATATTATGCATTGTCCAATTTGGCATTAATTTAAATGATTTATTTTGTTTCATTCCATTTTACGGATATGTTGCCAGCCACACAAAAGACTCTTGGGATCATGATTGATGGTCAAATGGGTCGTCAACATTTTCCAGGCAGCAGCAACAGCAGCGGCATCGACAGCAGGCGTACGGATTTAATTTGATTGAAAAGCAAACCGAAAAATCAATTCAAGCTAATGGATTTTCCAGCACCGCACTAGGCCATAGATATCTACTCCAGCCTCCGCTCTCAAATTTCAGAGGGAGTCTCTTTTTTTTTTTAGTCTTGGGTTCTGCAGTCATTTTGCATCAACAGCTCGACAATCGAGGGTGGTGGTGGGCTAAGCAATTTTTCAATAAACAATTTACAAAGAAAAAATGTTTGGCATGCCCTTGGGGATATGATGGGGGGGTGGATACGAGCATTCTTTGCTTATTTGATGCCTGATCTGTTGGCGTGTTGCAGGCAGTAAATATCTCGGGGGCAAACCCGAGGAAAATCCTTTTCTGGGGAACAG